AAGACAAGGATTTCTTGTATTTTTGGTCTTGCAAATTTCTTCCCGTCACCAGCTACTTCCAGGGGATCAAATCCATCGTCCGTTCTTCTTATAGTTCCCCCACTGTGCTTCACTCTTCACCTGCACACAGCTGAGCACGAGACAAAATGAGCTACATGGCAGCCGCCGCACGCTACACTGCAAACTGCACGCAACACTCACGCTACACTACACGCAACACTACACGCAACACTACCAAAATGCTGTCAGGGGCAGCATTTCAGGTCAGGACAGAAAAAGCTGACTTATATTTTCATTTCATTCCTTAAAAGCTTCAAAGCTCCAAAATGCCGCCCCTGCCAGCAGTTCGGTAGTGTTGCGTGCAGTGTAGCGTGTAGTGTTGCGTGTAGTGTAGCGTGTAGTGTTGCGTGGAGCTGCCACGCAACACTGGTCACTCTCACGTGCTTCTATGAAAAGGATTCTGCTTCCTCCCTCCTCCTGGTCCGGCAACCATTTTCCGGCATGCCAGCGCTGCTCTGCCCAGCTTGTGTTGCAATATAGTCAAATCTAAATGCACCAGGCTTGATGACCTTGAATTCAAAGGTTGATGATCTGACAAGCTAATGAATGCATATGGCCAAAACATCCTTCAGCTTCTGCCCGCTGATTCTTTGCAGTTCTTCAACCAGGCACATAGAATTTCAGTACTGTTGATGGAAGAAATCCTGCACCACTTTCAAAGGCCTACACTTGAAACCTCGCGCTCCTAATTTAATATTGTTTGAAGACACAGTGATCAAAATGGATTTGCGCGAGTGACGGAAATCCTGCACCACCTCAACATGTCATTCAACATTGAGCTTGGGGGTACGGGGGCACAAGTTATGCATTAGCAAATCTAAGGTTATAGAGGCGGTGCAGGATTTCTTCCACCCACCGAAGAAAGAAAAGGATTTCTTGCATTTTTGGTCTTGCAAATTTCTTCCCGTCACCAGCTACTTCCAGGGGATCAAATCCATCGTCCGTTCTTCTTATAGTCCCCCCAGTGTGCTTCACTCTTCACCTGCACACAGCTGAGCACGAGGCAAAATGAGCTACATGGCAGCCGCCGCACGCTACACTGCAAACTACACGCAACACTCACGCTACACTACACGCTACACTGACGCAGCACTACACGCTACACTACACGCAACACTACCAAAATGCTGTCAGGGACAGCATTTCAGGTCAGGACAGAAAAAGCTGACTTGTATTTTCATTTCATTCCTTAAAAGCTTCAAAGCTCCAAAATGCCGCCCCTGCCAGCAGTTCGGTAGTGTTGCGTGCAGTGTAGCGTGTAGTGTAGCGTGTAGTGTTGCGTGGAGCTGCCACGCAACACTGGTCACTTTCACGTGCTTCTATGAAAAGGATTCTGCTTCCTCCCTCCTCCTGGTCCGGCAACCATTTTCCGGCATGCCAGCGCTGCTCTGCCCAGCTTGTGTTGCAAAATAGTCAAATCTAAATGCACCAGGCTTGATGACCTTGAATTCAAAGGTTGATGATCTGACAAGCTAATGAATGCATATGGCCAAAACATCCTTCAGCTTCTGCCCGCTGATTCTTTGCAGTTCTTCAACCAGGCACATAAAATTTCAGTACTGTTGATGGAAGAAATCCTGCACCACTTTCAAAGGCCTACACTTGAAACCTCGCGCTCCTAATTTAATATTGATTGAAGACACAGTGATCAAAATGAATATGCGCGAGTGACGGAAATCCTGCACCACCTGTCAACATGTCATTCAACATTGAGCTTGGGGGTACGGGGGTACAAGTTATGCATTAGCAAACCTAAGTTTATAGAGGTGGTGCAGGATTTCTTCCACCCACCGAAGAAAGACAAGGGTTTCTTGTATTTTTGGTCTTGCAAATTTCTTCCCGTCACCAGCTACTTCCAGGGGATCAAATCCATCGTCCGTTCTTCTTATAGTTCCCCCAGTGTGCTTCACTCTTCACCTGCACACAGCTGAGCACGAGACAAGCTGAGCACGAGGCAAAATGAGCTACATGGCAGCCGCCGCACGCTACACTGCAAACTACACGCAACACTCACGCTACACTACACGCTACACTGACGCAGCACTACACGCTACACTACACGCAACACTACCAAAATGCTGTCAGGGACAGCATTTCAGGTCAGGACAGAAAAAGCTGACTTGTATTTTCATTTCATTCCTTAAAAGCTTCAAAGCTCCAAAATGCCGCCCCTGCCAGCAGTTCGGTAGTGTTGCGTGCAGTGTAGCGTGTAGTGTAGCGTGTAGTGTTGCGTGGAGCTGCCACGCAACACTGGTCACTTTCACGTGCTTCTATGAAAAGGATTCTGCTTCCTCCCTCCTCCTGGTCCGGCAACCATTTTCCGGCATGCCAGCGCTGCTCTGCCCAGCTTGTGTTGCAAAATAGTCAAATCTAAATGCACCAGGCTTGATGACCTTGAATTCAAAGGTTGATGATCTGACAAGCTAATGAATGCATATGGCCAAAACATCCTTCAGCTTCTGCCCGCTGATTCTTTGCAGTTCTTCAACCAGGCACATAGAATTTCAGTACTGTTGATGGAAGAAATCCTGCACCACTTTCAAAGGCCTACACTTGAAACCTCGCGCTCCTAATTTAATATTGTTTGAAGACACAGTGAT